CCTATCCCCTGTGTGCCTTGGGAACCCACTGTTTGATGAGGTCTTGAAACATGGAGAGCTGCAAACTTAGTGCTGTTGATGAGGTCTATGGGTTCCATTCTTCTTGTTCCGGGAACCTATGGTCATGGTTGTATGATCGGTACGACTTGGTCTAACCGGCGACGTCTAGGACCACCTTGGGGACGAAAGTCTTCGCCTGATCGAGTCAAGGTTAGATTTGGTGTGGACGCACTTTTTTCGTGAACCTGTCTGTCTTTTTCGCCCTTGGATTCCTACACGCAAGCCGGGGTCGAGATAGGGGGTGATCCTGACTTCGGTCCCTCCAAAGCTCGAGTTAGTAGGGAGATGATATTGTTTCCGATGCCCCTCGTTAGATGCTAGCGATGGATTTTTATCGTAGCCCTCGGGGGGTCGATCGTACGCAGTCTTTGTCGGCACTGACCTCTTGAGCGGCGAACATACCTTCGGACGTCCGTTGCGGGGGATACGTGGGATGGTGTCATGTGGCGTCGTCCTGAGCTTCTTAGAGCAGTCCTCGTTGCGGTCGAACTAGTCAGCACGGTGCTGGACGATGCGGGGAGTGGACAGCTGATATCTCGGATTTCTAGTGAAGCTTCTGACGTGGCACTGTGTCTTCCTCCCGAGGCCCCGCACTCGGGCTGACATAGCGAGAATCGAGTCCACGCGAGGTAATACATAATATCCTCTATCACTTCTAATTATGTTTAGTGACTCCATTTCATACAAATCAACAGTGCATGCAACAAAATTTCAAATGTTTGATCATTCGATTCCTATACTTTACTGCCAACGACAAAAAGATTGGCCGAAGTGAGAAATGCTATATCAGGGCGCCGTTGCAGAGGAGAGAGAGAGAGAGCGCGTGGGGTGGTGGTGGCGTTCCGCTCTGGCCTCTCATCACTCTTCCAACATCGCATGTTCGGATAGGTCTCCATCATTCGATGCCGTCCTTGGGTCCTGTGCATGATGCACCCACCCGAGGATTTCCTGCATCGTCCCCCGGATAGATGGATTCGTACAATGACTACCATTACCTGCCACCTGCAAATAACAACGGTGTCACACCCTGTCGAGGGTTACATCACCGGACGTGGCGCGCGTGCAAGGAATACCTATCAGATACCCTGTGATGAGGGCAGTGCACCAAATGCCGGATTCGTAGATGGGAATCGCATCCCCGATGACACCGATCAAGTCCTAGTCGTTTCCATTCACAGATGCATGGCATGTCTCTGCTAAATCATTTCATAACGCATAATAGATGTACTAAATCATTTGGAGGCAATCAAGGTTTTGATATTGTGTTAGCCGAATCAAAAAAAAGGCAAAGAAGTGATGAGGTTGGATATTTGACTTGATGCTGATCGACTCAATTCGATCTATACAGGCAATTTGTGGTGTATTAGGTCCACACAGTACTCATGTCTGTATGTGATTCCCGATGGCACAGTTGGATGTGCAGCTGTATTTGTCGTATATGGGATCGATCCACATTAGACTCATGTCATCATGTGAGTGTATGTTATAATCTAATGCGATTTCAATTAATTGGTCTCTTTATCTGCAGCCTTAAATTGGAGGAGCGCATGATCTGTTGTTTTCCAGTCAAATTGTTTCCAAGTATAAGCACGACTCTATAAATCATATACTTAATATAGCGAGAACTATCCCTCAAATTGAAGGCCTCTCTCTCTTTTGCCTTTGGTGAGCGGCTATCGAGGGAGGAGGAAACAGAGGAGCGCAGCAACGCAAAGGTAGATAAGAGGCGGCGGCTCGTCGTCCTCTCCCAGGCTAATTGGTCATCGCGGGAGGTAGAAGAGAGGACGAGAGAGACGAATGGGACTGGGAGGCGGAGAGGACCGTGAGGAAGGTGTAATGGCGACGGATTTTTTCTGGTCGTACACGGACGAGCCCCACGCCTCTCGCCGAAAGGAAATCCTCGCTCGGCACCCCCAGATCCGGGAGCTCTTTGGCCCCGACCCCTGGGCGTTCCTCAAGGTGAAAAATACCCTCTCGTTTCTCGTGGCCTGCAATCTTGCATCTTGCGTTGTTGTGGAAAAATGATCGGATTTTGAGTGATTTTCCTGTGGTGTTTGCGCTGATTTGTTATCGTATTCTGCCTATATTTGTTAGCTTTCGATGTCGGTCCTTCTTCACTCGTAGATGGCCTTCTTCTTGAAGGTTGCTGTCACGCTTGGACTCCAAATTGTTCGCGTTGATGGGCTTTGATTCTCCGCTTTGAAAGACGAGGCTTTTATTGTATGTATTTCGTGCTGCTTTTGCTCCATCGTATCGAGCACATTACTTCTGTCTCTTGATTGATGCCAACTTTTACTCTTTTGGTACATCATTGAGGTTGATTGCGGCCAACAAGCGGTTCGATGGAATTTTTCGTCATGATGTGACTTTGACTTTCTATCTTGCCATAATCGGGTTTTGATGGTCTTTGTAGCTTTACCGCGAGTTTCTTACTTTATCTCTACCTATCTACATCCACAGAAAGCTGATTCTGGTGAATTTATGCGGAGTCTAGGTCGTTTCATCGCTTCTAGATCGGATGCATTTTGTCGATGCGGAAGCATTTTTTGTGATTGCTTCCTTTGTCTCTGTATCTTGTGCTCCTTGGTTTCAAATATGGTTGTCTTGAAGGTGCAGTTCACGAGATTTTTGTGATTATTGTTTAAGTGGGTTGGAGAAAGAGATTGTGTTGATGTTTTCTCAAAGTTGTGTTTATTTAGTTCTTGCGATTTACTTGCGTTGGGAGAAAAATAGTTATTTTTCTTAGTCTATGATTTCTGTGATCTTTGATGTTATTATGCCCATTCTTTTAATTTGGAAAATTTCAATGACCTTTATTCCTTGTTGTCATATTAAATTAGAGGGCACCTTTTTGTGCTTAGATTTAAGTGTCACTTTGGGTGTGTTACTTGCATAGTTGTTATTACTAAGGAGAACAAACATATATTGACCCATTTCTTTGTGAATAATGAGTTTTGCAGATAAGTGAGGCCAGTTTGAGGAGTACACCATCTAGCTTTCAATTTAATTTAGTCAATGATTACATATTAGTATCTCTTTATGTATTAGAATATGGAAACAGTCTGAATATTCCTTGTATCATTTTCTTTCAGCATGAGAGTGGAATTATTTCACATGTTTTTTCAATTATTTACTTTGAGACAAGTCTCTTTTCCTTGTTTAGTCAGTAATATGGTTGTTCAAGGCTACATTGATGAAATAGGTAAATCTTAATTCTGTTTATTCCACCTTAAAAATTGTTCTAAAATGTACTTATTTCGTAAACATGTCTTAGCTTGGTGTTCTTAAGCGGTATCTGAGAGGTCACAGGAAGATTCATTATTTCTCTGCTTACACAACCTTGTTGTTTGGTGTATATTTCTTCTTTGTATCACTATTAATGTCACATTGCGGTTTTTGAACTGTCCATTTTTCCCTTTTCTAGATCAAAAATCTTGTTTAGCTTGGGCAGCCTTGATATCCCAAAATTGTTCCGATATTCCACATCACTCTTAAGTGATTACGATGTTGGTACTTTTTGATTTGTTGTCCTTTCCCTGTGTATCTTTAATAGATTTATTTGTGGCTGAGGCACCTTAAAAGGTTTCTGCCGATCCTGTTTTAATTGATGAGTAGACGTAGTATCAAGCAACCTAATTTCTTTTTCTCCTTGTTTATACGCTTTCTTGATCTCACCTCAAGGTGATGTCATATTACTAAAAGCCTTTTGGATTTTAAGATATCCTGTTTCTACCTGAAGTAACTTTATCACTCTTGAATAGTTTTTTTATTGCTTGTTTCTCATGATATTTTTGAACATGAATGGAAACTGTTTGCAGGTAAGTGCCGTTGTTCTTCTTCAGCTATGGACGGCAACCTATCTCCACGACGCAAGCTGGCTGAAGATACTAGTAGTTGCATATTTCTTTGGCTCATTCCTCAACCACAACCTTTTTTTGGCCATCCATGAGATCAGTCACAACCTTGCGTTCTCAACTCCATCCTACAACCGTTGGTTAGGGATCTTGGCCAACCTTCCAATTGGTGTCCCCATGTCCGTTACATTCCAAAAGTATCACTTGGAGCACCATCGCTACCAAGGTGTTGATGGAATGGATATGGATATTCCTAGCCACGTCGAGGCTCACGTTGTGACCAATGCGATAGCCAAATCCATATGGGTCCTTTTCCAGCTATTCTTCTATGCTTTAAGACCAGTCTTTCTCAAACCAAAACCCCCTGGCCTATGGGAATTCACCAATCTAACAATCCAACTTGCACTTGATGCCTCTCTGGTCTATTTCTGGGGATGGAAATCCTTTGCATATCTAATACTTGCAACATTTGTCGGAGGGGGTGTGCACCCAATGGCAGGCCATTTCATCTCCGAACACTATGTCTTTAATCCAGAGCAGGAGACTTATTCATATTATGGACCCTTAAATCTCATGACATGGAGCGTGGGATATCACAACGAGCACCACGATTTCCCCAGAATACCGGGTACCAAGCTCTACAAGGTGAAAGATATTGCTCCCGAGTACTACGAGAACTTGAAATCATACAGGTCTTGGAGCCAGGTGATCTACATGTACATCATGGACCGCACGGTCGGACCCTTCAGCCGGATGAAGAGAAAGGCACCGAAGAGTGCAGTGACCGTCAAGAAAGACGAGTAGGACCGCTGATCACAACAATCTTTGTTGCTTGACTTGAGATTCCATTTCTTTGAGCTGTTCAGAATGCGCTAATATTGATGGATTCCACCACTTGTTTGTTCATCATCCTAGAAAGTATATTTCAGTGATTTCTCTTTCTGTCTCTTGCTATGGATTTAGGAGAAGATGCCATTTTTTTTGTACCATTTCCTGTACCCATACTGGATAACTGTTGACAACAATTTGTTAGAATTTGATGCCAGATTTTGTTTCCCCATAATGCTTTACTGGTATCAGTGTATGGTGATACAACTGCAGGTTCAATTCTTATTCAACATGTGGAATTTGGGTTTCTACTGGGACATAATTGATCATCTTATTGTCTTTTCAACACAGGTCATGTCTTTTATCCTTTTCCTATGATCACTAAATCCCTTATCTGATCAATTTTTGGTTTACTATTTGTGTTTTTAATGTCCTTTCATATTTGTTATTCATGGTCACTGGGAAATCCCTCCATGAGAACTACTCATCTGTGCAGGAAAATTCCCCAACAATTCCTTTATATCAGCTAATAACCTGTGCATTGAACATTATACTATTTCATGAACTTACATCTTGACCTGTCAATTCTTAATATTTGCATGCTGTTCCAGACATCAGACAGACAAACAAATCATAGCCAAGTCAAATTATTCAATGAACTCCAACTATATTCTATAGGCATTTCTTGCTGGAGAATAGTAATGCTCAACTGATTCATCAACATGAAGGCAATTTCTTTGAGTTTCCATTGCTCCACTTGTGTTATTTTCTTTGATATGATAATTATCTATAGTCAATTGCGACTAACATGTGAAATCCACTCAATCAGTATAAGACGACGCATAGCATCGAAAAGAATATTTCTTAGTAATACTCTTAATCTCTTATAACCAACAGCCTTTTCCCATATGAACACTCGTCTCAAACTCTTGAAACCCTCCACGCATACAAACTATCCAAGTAGCTATCATGCACCCAATATTATAAGTTTTCAGATTTGACGATGATGCGATAAAGACTTTCTGAATAACATGAAAATGTATACATCATATATTTGATATATCTTAATTTGATTTTAATTTTTGATAATTAAAGTTGTTCACATAATAGTAGTATAATCATGATTTTTATGCTTACAATTGATATCATATTTTTAAATTAAATAATTTAGACCATAAAAATATTTTAGATCTATTTTATATTTAGATCTCTTTATTAGCACCCTTTGCTTATAAAAAGGTATTATTTAATTTTGATTTACGACGATTAAATGATCCATTTGTATTATCGATCCGTTTTCCTATCTAGTTCGTCATGTCGCTTACTTATCGGCAATACGAGATTTTTTGTATTTGATCGATGGGCCATTATCAACGGCTTGACGCCAGCGATAATATTGTTGAGGGCAACTACCACCAACGGATGCTAGCCCAATCGTGAGCAGTGGCTAAATACACAGTGAAAGTGCCATGGGGTGCAACAGTCATCAACGATCGCATACATGGTTTCCTATGTACAACAGCCTTGTGGCAATCGACTTGCCTTGTTTGCGGGCGATTACAATAGTCCTATTATATGCGATGGCTATAGCAACATCACTGTGACATTTGTTGTTCATTGTTGACATCAAGTGGATCTTGTTGCAAGGTGTGATTACCAATGATGGTTGGCAAGCTATGTCGCTAGCTGGCTGTGGGTAACAACCTAACTATGGGCAATGATATTACGTCGTTGACAAAGGGAGAGATAGACTGTTTTGTCACGCTATGGGTGGCATTATGAAACAACACAGAAGCCGCACCACCACGGGTGGCACGTAGACGATGGACAGTCGATGCACAATCAGCGAGACTCGTGCACATGGGTGAGGTGGAACGCAACAGCAAGGTTTTTTAAAGTATATTTTTATCTCTCAAAAATCAAATAATTTCAATTTGTGTCCTTAAATTTTACTTTGATAGTTATGTCCTTTAAAAATTGAATATTTCTATTATATATTCCATTCATAATTATAGTTTTACTCTTTAGAATTAAATTTTTTTAACTTATATCCTCAATTACAAAATTGATCTAACTTGATTTATTTTTTATTAATCAAGTTTTGATCGAATTAAAAAAAATAAATATTGATAAAATTTTGACTTTGTTCAACTGTAATTTTGATGGGCCTAATTGAGCAAATGATTGGCCCAAATTTATGAGCCCAATTTGGGTAACTTTATTCTAGGTCTACCTAGTTAAATATGTTTGATTGGTCTAAACATTTTATAAAAAATATTAAAAATATAAATTATGATTTTTTAATAGTTTTCTCATATTATATATTGATAAAATTTTGCATGTGATAAATAAAAAAATTATTATTATTCTTAAATATTTGTTTGGTTATTCACATGTATATGATTGTAATTATAAAATAATATCATTTTTTACATAAAGGTATAATTTATGTTTCATCATGATTATAATTATTATATGAGTTTTTCTTTATATCGATTGATATTTGATAATTATTATGATAATTATTTTATAATTATTAAATTATTTCGACATATATTAGATTGAAGAAATTTGGTGAATATCATTTGTAATTCATATCCTTTAAATTTTATTAGACTAGCAATTGCTAAAGTGGCCTTAGATAGTAGACTTATAAGGTGTGAATTAAAATAAATATTTTATCATTTATAAGATATTTTAAATTTTATTTTATTTATTATTATATTAGTCTGGTAGTTGCCAAAGTGGTTTAGACTAATAACTTATGAAATTACATTAAAGAATCAATCCTAAATAATATTAAAAAAAATATTCATAATGATAAGTAATTAGGAGATTTAGAAAATCTCAAAAGTAAATCTACTTCAAATAATTATGTGATAGGATAGAATGATACTTATTTGGATATAAGTTTAAGATTGTATATCTAAATATGACAATATTATTCCACAAGGATGATATCAATCTCCATAAATAATTTTGTGTGAACATTAGATATTTTAAAATTTCACTCAAACATAAAATAAAGATGATATCATTAGTTCAATATTTATTGAAAAACTCAAAGTATTAATATTATAATATTTTTATTATTTTTAGATGGCAATTTTTGATTGCATTCTTATAAATATTTATATTTTTTTAGATTAATGACTTGGAGCATATGTAATTTACATCGGATGTTTTAGACCTTAATCAAACTAGTTGAAAGGATTATAGACATAACTACTAAAAGTTTTATGAATTAAAGAATTAAGATTAATGATAAAAAAAATATTTAAAAGAGTCAGTTTTATAATAATTGTGATAATATTTAGATTATATTATAATTTATAATTGATTAAAATTTACTGATAAGTCATTAGTTGATATTAATGAAAGAACTGATTAAAGTTTAATATGATAATATTTAAGAAATTCAGGATTATATCCTTAATATGGCTCACAAAACTATAAGTTTAAGAATATTGGGCATGAATATAGTTAATTTTTTTCATATAATTTATTCTTAATTCTATTTCTTCTTAGTTTGACTCATTTATAATTTACTATAATAAAATTAAGAATAAGTAAAATTTAAATGAGCAGATTAGTAAATATGTTTATAAAGAATTAAAATTAAAATAAGAAAAACTCATAATAATTTGAGTACTACTAAGGAGTGGGTAATAATAAAAAAAAAGTTAAAACATAAATCACCCGAGTTTTTAAATACTATACAAACTCATAAAAGAAAAATCTTTACAGTAAAATTCTACTTTTGTGGCAAGAAATGTGATATGAAAAATGACTATAAGGTTTTGATTCGAGAGAGAGAAAAGTATAAGCCTAACCTTTGTATATTTTGAATTGAATATTTAACATATATTATATTAAAAAACTTTGTATATTTCGAATCAAATCATATATTAAAAATCTTTGTATATTTCGAATCAAATCTATTATTGATAGATTGATACTAACCATTTAACATATATTATCAATAATAGAGATTCACTTTAATAGGGGTACCAAAAGAGTGTGAAATATTCATCATTATAAAAAAATATATTTTAAAGCAAAAATAATAGTAACCAGTACTTATTATCTATGCTTAAGGATGATTCATCTGATGTTATATTCCTATTATTTTATAAATTTAAACTTTTATCTAGAATTATTAGGATATTATTTTTCTTTCAATGGTTGTAAACTCAATATATTTATAATTCAATAAAAATTAATTTTTCGATTTTATATGGTGGTTTATATATAATTAATATGAATCTTGAGCTTACAATGATCCTATATTTCTTATTTTAGTAAAAATAGATATTTTATTAACTTTATAAATTACTTATTGAGATATAACTATATATATCTAATTTATATAAGGTATGTTTACACATTTTGACATATATATAAATAAAGTCGAGAGATAATTAAATAAAAAATTTAAAATTATCAGATCTGATAAGGGTGACAAATTTTATAGTAATTATAATGAGTTTGATTATGATTATTATTCTTTTACTAGATTCTCTGAAAGGTGAGATATTTGTGCTCAATATATTTTACTAGATATACCATAACAAAATAAGATTATTGAAAAGCAAAATTTTACTATTATAAATATGGTTAGAAATATAATAAGTTATTTTCTGTACCCAAATTATTGTGAGGTGAAACTCTAAAGCTAGTTATGTATATCTTGAATAGGATTCCTAGTGTTTAGGATTGATAGAAAATCCAAATTCTTTTGAGTTATCGACTAATAAGAAACTCAACTTGAGATATTTATATATCTAGGATTATCATATAGAGATAAAAATATTTAAATCACATAAAATAAAATTAAATTCAAGTACTATTTTTAAATATTTTATTATTTATTTAAAAAAATAAAGGGTTACTGAATTTATTACCCTAATCATAGTACAAAGTTAAATTTGATAATATAAAATTCCTAGATAATAGGAAATTAGTGGGAGTGAATCTCAAATTTTAATATTGATATTAAAAAATATATTAATATTTTTTATCATTTAATATTCTAGAGATTATTATTTTTCAAATCACTAAAAGAATTGATGATGGTGAATAATAAAATATTATTAATGAACACACATATGATATTGATATCATCGCTAATGGTCATTTAAAATAACCATAGTTGATAATTTTGAGAAGATCTTAATAAAGGAAATGAGACTTTTTATTTCTGATTATTATGTAATATATCTAAAAATATCATAC